CAGCCTGCAGCCCCGCAGTCAGTCAGGAAAAATCCCGGTGTCCTGCTGACTGATTTGGCCGCTTCTCCATTATTATTTAACATTTATTCAATTTATTATTAGGCTACTTTATATTAGTGCCTGCCTGATGGATACAAGTTATTTCTGAGCTCGGCTTTCTATTGTGACCAGTGGATTTGAAAAATAAATGTGATAGTTTGATAAAAAATAAATCGATAACCTAATAATTCATGGATTCGCTAGTGTTGAATGCAACCTGATCTCCGGCGAAAGACACAAAAAAGAAAAGCCCTGCATGTATGAACACGCAGTATAATGAAGCGAGTGGATTTTTCTGATGGATCTCGTATCTATAAGATGATTTGTGTGTGCGAGGTTACAAACGTATGCTCCTTTTCTATGTGCGTTCCTCACGTAACGCGAAAGTGAAAGTAACCTACGCATTCGGGATAGTTTAAAAGAATTCGGGTCTAATCGGGTCCATTTGGAAAAAGCATGTTTATTTTAAATTACCCGAGACCCGAGGCCGCTAATACCGAACCCGACCCGTGTCCGAGGTACTCGTCGAAGTATTGGACCCGAACCTTCTCAGGTCTCGGGTCGGACCTCGGGTTTTCGAATCCAAGTGGACCCGTGAAGACCTCCAGTCTGAGGTGCTGGGCAGCCTGCTGGTGATTCTTCTAACCTTCACCTCTGAGCCTAAAACTAATGTCTGCAGTTTTGATAGACTGTCTTTCATTTCAGCAGGCCTGAGAGGTGTGGTTGCTTAGAAGCAAATTATGATGGCCTTTTATTGCCATGTTAAATATAGACATGTTTGTACTCAAGTGCAGCCCGGGGTTTTAGTCACTGCTTGATTACATAATTTGTTGCAAAAAGATTGTGTTGCGTAGGTGCTTTTGAATGCCATGACTTCTAGATAATAAGAAAGCTTGTCTTCTGTAACTTAGAATAGTTTAAAAAGTCATTGGTACAAGTATGGATGTGGAAAAGCATGAAGCATGCAGGAAGATGTGTGTAATTCTGATTTAGAATATATTTTCTCATCCATAGAAGCAGTCCCACGGAAGGGACTTGAGAATGGGGGTCCTGCTGCCATGTTGGGGTAAGAGATACCTAATACCTTTTCTGATTTATTTCTTTGTTCTTAATAAACACTGTGTCTAGACCTGTTGCAGCATAATGAATCACTAGCGGCGAGACATTTTGTCTTTCCCAATTTGTGCATTGCTTTCTGTATGTCTTCTGATGTCATATGATAGATTTGTGTGAGAAACAGGTGGAAATTTAATTGGTTATTCACTGATAATCTGCTTTGTGAGCTTGAGAAACATGGTGACGAAAATCATGGGTCCTTGAATCAGTCATTGCTACTTCTCTCATGAATTCCAAATGCCGTTCATCAGTTTGACAGATAAAAAACAAGAACAAAACCATGTAAATCTATGCATCAGATCTTGCGTGATGTGTATGCTCACTCACTCATTTGTGCTAGATATTATAAATCACTTGTGTTACGGTTGATAAGGACGCTGTGTTATATCTAACAACCATTTAACATTTAAGTCATGTACTAACAATATTTTGACATTATTTACTAGCCTGGTGTTTCTCTGTGTCCTGTAGGCAGAGTCTGAACTCTCTCAATGCAGCAGGCACAGGTAAAACCCCACAGAAAACTGAACCTAATGATGTTGCGGCCACAAAGAAGACCAAATCTGCAGAAGCTGCCCGACTAACTGAGGCTGACAAGGCCAACACTGGCAGGGTATGAGTCAGCTGTCTCTGTGTCAGGATGTTAGAGCATGGTTCCTTTTTCCATTTAATTTTGAGATTTAGTGAATATTGTTTGTTATGCAGGTGAAGCTGTCTGTGTTTTGGGAGTACATGAAGGCTATCGGCTTGCCCTTGTCCATCTTCAGTATCTTTCTGTTCTTCTGTCATCATCTGTCCTCTCTGGGCTCAAACTACTGGCTCAGTCTCTGGACAGATGACCCTGTTATCAACAACACACAGCCCAACAGAGAGATGCGTTTAGGGGTGTATGGAGCCCTCGGAATCTCACAAGGTCATTTAAGAGACATTCAGATTGTTGTGTGTGATTGCTTATATTCACATTTGAAATTCCTGAAAACTGTTTTTAATGACAACTTTTATATAAATAGAAAAAAGTTCTCACCTACAGTGAATTTTTGAGCTATGTGGTCACTGTTGGTTAGAACTTGTAATAAATATTTTTTTCACTTTATGGAGCTTTGGTGTGCCAACTTTTTCCTTAATGTCATCAAATCAATAAATACTCACCTTCCAAAATTCACTTTTAAAGGGGTCATATGATGCGATTTAAATTTTTCCTTTCTCTTTGGAGTGTTACATCATAGGTGAACTATACCTGCCAATTAATAATGATAGTATTTTCTTCGTATTTTAAATAAACCAATATGTTAAATTGCAGCCCCTTAAAATTATTTTAATGCAATGCATTTTTATGCAATTCAACATCTTTTTTGTATTAAATGTTTGTTATTAATATATGTCTATGTAGTTCTTTATATGTATTTATTATTATTATTATTATTAATTAGCTTATTGGTCCAGAAACCATTTTGATTTTGAAGCTAGCTTTTGAAACCTTTTTTCTTTTTTCTTTTTTTTCTCTGATAGGCATTGCAGTGTTCTGCTATTCTGTGGCAGTGTCGGTTGGTGGGATCTTAGCCTCCCGCTACCTGCACCAGACGATGCTCTACAACATCCTGAGATCACCCATGTCTTTCTTCGAACGCACACCCAGTGGCAATCTGGTCAACCGCTTTGCCAAAGAGACAGACACCATTGACTCGGTCATCCCTAGCATCATAAAAATGTTCATGGGCTCCATGTTTAATGTGCTGGGCTCATGTGCTGTCATCCTCATTGCCACGCCACTGGTAGCCATCATCATCCCACCGCTGGGCCTGTTCTACTTCTTTGTACAGGTCAGTCAGTTGTTTTACCTTGCGGCTGCATGATAGGTAAGGCTAGCAACTCTCTAGGCTAAAATACATTTAAATAGAAAATATTTGAGATCTAAAACTTCAATGTAAGTGTAATCATTTGCTGGGTGCTGCTCTAACATTTGTCTTTTCATCTCTGTTAGCGTTTTTACGTGGCGTCCTCTCGGCAGCTGAAACGACTGGAGTCTGTGAGCCGCTCTCCTGTCTACACACACTTCAACGAGACACTGCTGGGCACCAGTGTGATCAGAGCATTTGGAGAGCAGCAGCGCTTCATTACAGAGAGTGACGGCAGAGTGGACCACAACCAAAAAGCTTATTTCCCCAGCATTGTAGCCAACCGGTGAGAATTCACAGAACCTCACATGATTTTACCATTAGGTTAGATGTATTAGTGTTTCGTTTTTTGGAAAGCTGATGATTTGATGTGTCTTTGTGCCTCTGTGTCCTGCAGATGGTTGGCAGTGAGGTTAGAGTTTGTGGGAAACCTTATTGTGACATCTGCAGCGCTTTTTGCTGTGATGGCCAGGGACAGTCTGAGTCCAGGTATCATGGGGCTGTCCATCTCTTATGCGCTGCAGGTCAGTCTAACTTCTAAAATGATGAGATACAGACCAGATGTCCACTCAAATCCTTACTAGTTCCATATTTCTCACAGGTCACAGCATCTCTGAACTGGCTGGTGCGGATGTCCTCTGAGCTGGAAACTAGCATAGTGGCAGTGGAGAAGGTGAAGGAATATGGAGACACAGAGAAAGAGGTCAGTGCACCAGCAGGCAGATTGTGTGTGTTCATTCTGTACTTGTGTAGAGTCCAATCTGTGATTAGCCCTGTTCCCTCTTTTATCTCTCACTGTACTAGAGAGATGAGGATAGTTAGCACACAGGGAGGGGTGGGGGATAATATATGTCCACAAGATGTGGCACTAGTTTCTGGAAAGAATTTGGGTAATTTGTTTATGGCTATGATTATTTAGGCTACAATTTGCATTAATATATGAAAGGAAAGTGTATGTGTGAGATCTTGCAACTGATCTTTTTTTTTTTTTCATTTGGTATGCTGACCACTTGTCACGTTTTTATTTTATTTTTATTTTTTACTATTTCTAATGAACTTTTTTCCTTCACTTGTTCATTGTAAATGGACTAGCGGAGTGAAAAATGAAATTTTAAGTGATTTTTAAAATGATTAAAAAATTAAAATGATTACATATACACTTTATAAATATTAGATTCATTACACTATCATTCAAAAGTTGTGCTCAGTAAGATTTCTTTAAAAGAAGTTAATACTTTTATTCAGCAAGGATGCATTAAATTAATCAAAAGTGGCAGTAAGGACAGTATCACAGTTTCCACAAAAAAAATAAAAAATAACAAATTAAAAAAAACATACCAGCATTGATAGTAATAAATGTTTCTTGAGCAGCAAGTCAGCAGATTAGAATGATTTCTGAAGATCATGTGACATTGAAGACTGGAGTAATGATGCTGAAAATTCAGCTTTGCATCACAGGAATAAATTACATTTTAAAATATATTAAAATAGAAGACAGTTATTTGAAATAGTAAAAATATTTTACAAAATTGCTGTTTTCCCTGTATTTGTGATCAAATAAATGCAGCCTGGTTGAGGAAAAGATACTTTTTTTCAAAAACATTTTAAAAAATCCTATAGACTTTTTAGTCTATAGGAAATAGACTAAAAAATATACTTTTTAACGGTACTGCAATTAGCAAAATTAGCTGATTAAAATAGTATTAGATGAGCTATATAGCATGTCACACTGCAGGATGGGTCAACTTCCTGAAAGTATTTCAGGTTAACTTCATGTATTTCTGGTTTCAATGTTAAAGATGGTTTTGTTGAGATGTGATTGGTCTATGCTGCATTAATGTCTCTGTTTACAGGCTGAATGGAGGTTGGAGCACTCCACTCTGCCTGCTGGCTGGCCGACCGCTGGTCATATTGAAATCCACAACTTTGGCTTGAGATACAGAGAGGACTTAGAGCTGGCTATTTCTGATATCTCAGTCAACATTGAGGGAGCAGAAAAGGTGCGTGGAGCCATTACAATATTCAGAATCAGTTCAAGCTAATAAACAATGTTCATTTAGAAATCTATTCACCTAAAATTTCCTTATAAACATGCAAAGTTAATCATGTATGTATTTGTGTGTTTTTCTAAGGTGGGAATTGTGGGTAGGACAGGAGCAGGAAAGTCCTCTTTGACATTAGGGCTCTTCCGCATCATCGAGGCAGCTCAAGGGGAGATCCGTATAGATGGAGTCAACATTGCTGAGCTGGGCCTGCATGAGCTACGATCCAGAATCACAATCATTCCTCAGGCACTGGACTTAAATACACCTAAACATTCATTTAAAGTCACTAATTTGAGGATATCACTATTGAAGTTTTCAAATTGATGTTTTCCTTTCAGAATGATTTCATTTTTTCTGTTAACTTGCCAATGAGAATTGAGCTGTTTTAGTTTTAGTTTTTCTTTTGTATTTCTAAACACCTTTTCCTCTGTCCCAGGATCCAGTGCTGTTCTCTGGTTCCTTGCGAATGAATCTGGACCCCTTTGATGGCTACACTGATGAGGAGGTCTGGAGAGCTCTGGAACTCGCACATCTCAAGAACTTTGTGTCTGGCCTGCCTGACAAACTCAACCATGAGTGTTCAGAGGGAGGAGAGAATCTCAGGTATAAACAACTTCTCAACAATGTTTATTCTTCATTTGACTAAAATCTAGAGTTATAAATAATAATAAAATATAAAGACTACACCAACACTATATTATATATTGTTATATAATAATATTTAAAATGTTTATGTAGCACTAAATATTTCCTAACATTTTTCTTGAAAGGGTGCTGGTTCTCGATAAAGGCCAGATGGCAGAATTTGATTCTCCGTCCAATTTAATTGCCAAGAAGGGAATTTTCTACAAGATGGCCAAAGACTCAGGTTTGGTCTGATAAGTAGAGGGGCTGAAGAGCCCTCCGTTCATCTAGGACATATCACTGGGTAGAGCCCATGGAGAGTGGACCTTGTGAGACATGGACTCTGAAGGTACCTCTTCTGTGGGCCTGGAGCTCACACACATAGTGTGAACATGACACCACTCCATCCTCAGCTACTGTAGCCTTCCGTTTTCAATCACATTTTAAAGGTTTCACTGCAAATGCTGCTTTGAAGGTTGTTTGATGCCAACATTTGGGATGTTTGAAACTAGTTTGATTTCTTCATGGCTGTTTTTCTTGTCTGTTTCCATTTGGAAGACTTCTCACTTTTCCACTAAGCCGCACTTTCCTGTTGATTGTTAGTAATGAAAACAATTATATTTGCATCATTGCTTCACTAGAAAGAGTAAAGAACAAAGTTTCTCTGAGCATTGTAACACTGATGCAGTGATAATACTGACCAAACAGCTGCTGGGAAATCCCTCCATGAGCATCAGGTGCTTCATCCCAAGCCAAAGTTAATATTTGAAGGCATTCTCATTATCAAAAAGTTTCCTAAAGAGACACATTTGAAAATTCTAGTTTCATCTCCAGATAGCCATTGATTTCTCTCATTTAATCCTTATTTATAGTTTTGAGAAAATCTGTTACAATATTTCTTTTTTCACATAAAATTATTTTATCATATAACATATTTATTACTGGGTATCTCCCACTAATGGCGACTTAAGCCTCATCTTACCAATATCATGCAGTAGAGTCTACACTGACCTTCTGTTTTCATTGGTACTGTATTTAGTTGGCGTATTTGATTTATGATCTTTGTTGTTTACTATTATTTCTCAGTGATTATTTTACCAAAAATTATGAATGCACTTATTGTTCTGTGTAAAAAAGGTCAAACTAGGGTTAATATTTCAGGTTTGGTGGGAGTGATATTATTTTAAAAACAAGTAGGAATTATGCTATATCACTTTAAGGTCAGATACACAAATCATAGTGGTTCTTTAAAGAACAGGTTATCAAGTAGATGGCGTACCTGTTGAACTGTGTGCTTCACTCTGTGTGCTATATACCATATATCTGTTGAATGTACGCTTGAGTGCGCAACGTTGTTTCATTCATCAGTACCTCCACTCTAGATCATTTAAGCCTTATGAGGCCAATCAGTTAAAAAAAAAAAAAAGAACTGACAAAGCCTTAAAATGATAAAAAAAAAAAAAAGATAAATCTGATTTGTTACATATTTATATGAATTGTATGTAAGCATAAAGATAAATCAGGCTGATGTGTATAGGGTAAATATGAATAAATTTTTGTAAAGAGCCTTTTGTTAGTGTTTTAACTTGAGCTCATTATTTTGTACTTCGGAAATCAGTCTCTCAAAATGTGATTTTTGTCAAAGTGAGAAAGAAATTCATTTCTGATCAATACTACCAACATTTATTTTACTGAAGCTGCTCAGAAAATAAGAGCATGTTCAAGTTTGACAGTCTCACATGAAGTGTGCCTGGAAATGCTATATAAATATATAAAAAGACAGTTATTATACAGTACAAAATACATAAATACTGATTTAAACTTTTAGATTATGGAAAAAATACAAGTATTAATACACAGACAAATTCTGTATAAGGATGGGTGGGTGTTGCATTGTTTTTAAGATGAATGGATGTTTCTCACATCATAAATAGCTTAAAATAGATGCATCTTTCACCTTTATGGGAATTTAGGGTTTAATGTGCTGACATAATTAATAAATTCTTGTAACAACCTGAAAAGGTTCAAGTAGAATTGCAACTAGTTCTACAGCTGTGTCTTGCCAGGATCTATAACAATAAACTACAAATTTCCACAAAACTTCACTTTGACAGCAATGAGAGGTGGTGAACATGGCTGTGCACACTGACCATCTGAAGTGTGCATTATATTGACCTACTGAACACCTCTATGGTAAGATAACGTTACACAAGTCTTTGTATTCTGAGATGAGATTGTTGACGACATGAGGGAATCAGTCTGTTCCTTTAGCACGTCAGATGTCAGTTAAAGAATCAGCAGGAGAATGCTGAAGCACACCGCTTCTGTAATACTGGAAAAAACGTGGACACCTGCTGAAGTAGAACAGCTATTACGGGCAAAACCTCTTCATCCTGAGCTTTGTGCTTCTCTTGATTGAGAAGGAAAGATGTGTCCTTTAGTAAGTTCTGTGATGAAAAGATTCAGGTAGTCTCAGCAAGTGTATTAGTGAGATTTTCTTCACCATTTTTATAGTCTCTCCTGAATGAAGAGATGATTTTGTCATTGGTTGTTCTTCTGGTAGTGAAGGTTCACACTAGCCCAGCCTCCCGGCACATTCGATAGAACTGACCACGCTGAGAGATCAGATTGGATGGTGAGTCCATCTCTGTGATGTGCCCTCTGTCCATCACAATCACCCTATTGGGAACAGTTGAATAGGGTTGAATTATTGTCAGTAATCATAATCATATTCTTTTTAGAAATAAACACGTGCTCTTTGTTATACCTTGTGTAGTCCATGATGGTGTTGAGACGGTGTGCGATGGTCAGAACGGTGCAGTCCTCAAACTGAGTTCGGATAGTGGACTGTATCAGATTGTCCGTCTCCAGGTCTACAGCTGCAGTGGCTTCATCCAAAACCAGAATCTTGGTCTTCCTGAGGAGAGCTCGAGCCAGGCAAACCAGCTGCCGCTGACCCAAACTGAAACCCAGAATATCCAGTCAGAAACTGTCATACTAGATTTTAGTCAAATGAAGAATAAACATTGTTGAGAAGTTGTTTATACCTGAGATTCTCTCCTCCCTCTGAACACTCATGGTTGAGTTTGTCAGGCAGGCCAGACACAAAGTTCTTGAGATGTGCGAGTTCCAGAGCTCTCCAGACCTCCTCATCAGTGTAGCCATCAAAGGGGTCCAGATTCATTCGCAAGGAACCAGAGAACAGCACTGGATCCTTGGGGAAAAAAGGTTGAAAATAAAACACTCAATTGTAAATTTTTTTAAAGTTTGTCATGGCGTTCGATCTGTTTTTCCATTTTCACGAGTACCTGTGGGATAATGGTGATACGAGACCTCAGTTCATGCAGTCCAACCTCTGCAATGTTTATCCCATCTATGAAGATCTTTCCTTTTGCCGCCTCGAGGATCCGGAAGATTCCGAGAGCAAGAGATGATTTTCCAGCCCCTGTTCTTCCCACAATTCCAACCTGAATAGATTCAGTGAATAACTTAGAAAGTAATAAAAATAAAGCACAAATATGACAATGTGCTCAGATGTTATATTTACTTTCTCTCTCTCATTAACACTGAGGGAAATTTCTTTTAAGGCCCAGTCAAGACCCCTGCGGTACTGAAGTCCATATTCTTGAAATCCAATGGATCCGGATCTGGGCCAGTCTGATGGGAGTGGACTGTCCTCGATTGTCCATGGTGCCTGCGACAACCCAAGACTAACTTAGTGACCTCAAGAATGAACGTAAAAGTATACTTTTATGACTTTATATATAAGATTTATGGGGGAAAAACAGCTTTCAGACCAACGTTACCTCTTTTGTTGTTTCGGCATATTCCTTCACTCGCTCAACAGACACAATGTTGTTTTCTACATCTGTCCATGCCCGCACAATCCAGCTCAGGATCCCAGTTACCTGCAATGTGATTTTTCTTGAGAAGTTGCCTAATAGGTGGCTGTCCAAATGTCCACATATGTGGCTGTCCAAAGTTTTCCAAAAACTTTTTGATGAGTTCCCTACCTGGAGAGAGTGTGACACAGCTAGCCCCACGATTCCAGGGCTTAAAGTTGACCTTCCCATAACAGAGAGAATAGCTGCAGCAAGGACCAGCAGGTTACCCAGGAACTCTAGATTTACTGCCAGCCACCTATTGGAACATTAAAGATATTGTATAGAGATGGACTGGATTACCGGTAACAAAGAATGAATAAGCCATGACTGAATCTGACCTGGTTGCCACAAATCTTGGGAAATAGGACGTTTGATTGTGGTCCACTCGGCTGTTAGCCAGTAGGATAAACCTAGACTGTTCTCCAAAGGCCCGAATCACACTGACTCCTTGGACTGTCTCATTAAAATGAGTATAGATGGGCGATCGACTCACCGACTCTAGTCTACGCAACTGGCAGGATGTGGCCACGTAGAAGCTCTGAAAACATAGAAGAATAGATGTCAGATGTCAGACTGGTGCTCCTTGTTACGATACTCTTGCATGCTGAGCAGTCTCTAGTAGCATACCTGGATAAAGGCATAGAGCAGAGTCAGTGGCAGTACGATCACTCCTGCAAAAGGAGTCGCCATCAGCACGATAATGCAAACCTCCAGAAGTTTGAACACATAGCCCAGCATCATCTTCAGCCCATCAGGAATCATGCAATCAATGGCGTCTATCTCTTTAGAGAACCGATTGAGAAGGTTACCACTGGGTGTACTCTCAAAGAACGACATAGGAGAGTGAAGTACATTGTTGACAAGGTCCAAATGAAGATGCCGGGATGCAATTATTCCTCCAAGTGAAATAGCCACAGTAGTGCCAAAAACTGCAATTCCTGCAATACAATAACAAAGTTAATGATCAAGAACAATACACAGTCCCAGGGTACTCAATGAGGGTTGAGGAACATGAGGAATTTTGAACCTTGTGCAAAGCCGAGAGCGCCAAAAACACCAAGCTTCAGATCCGTGTTGACCTGTGTTCCATTTACAACCGGGTCATCTGCCCACAGGCTCAGCCAGTAGTTGTAGGTCAGTGAGGCAGCTTGCTGGAACGCATAGAGGAAGATGATGGGGATGATGAAAGCCAACCCAATGGTCCTGAAGTAATCCACATACATCTCCAGTTTCACCTATGTGTGACCCGTTATGAAGAAGAACGTGTGAGGAACAACACTCTGGATGATATAGTGCACATTCAGCTATATTATGGTGTTCGAACAATGAAGCTCAATGACCTGTAATCAGGGGTTAAAATTAGATCTCTGTGGTGACACAAGAGCATCTGAAACCCTTGTCGCTGACCTGTAGCTGAACTTTAAAATTGGCCTGCCACTCTAAATCTTTGGCCTTTGGTATTGAGTTACGTGTGAAGGTATATTTTGATGTGTCTACTAGGCCTGTCACGACAACACCTTTTTGTTGTGCGATATATTGCCCCAGAAATAATTGCGATAAGCGATATTATTGTCATTTTAAAGACCATTTTATGCCACTGAATATATAATTGTAATGTAACGGCATAATAATGCAAGAAGGCCTACACACTTCCAAATGACAAACTTTTAATATTTACGAATATTTAGATCATGGAAATTAAGTATAAAAATATTAGATACCTTAAAAAAAACCTGAATAAACAGTAAATAAACATTTTCTAACAAAAAGTGCAAAGGCTCTATTACTTACTCGGCCTGTATGAGCTTTGTCAGCCTGGGTGAGTCTCCCAACTTCCTCCTGGTCCTGCTCCTGTTCTGTGTCAGATATGGCCTCCATGGTTTGTATACTGGCACTTCCCATGTCTCCACTTCATTAAACAAAATTGACAGAAAGGTAAATATGTGCTCTTCAACATCATTTGCATTTTCATTTTCAAAACTTGGCTACTTTTACCTGATGAGTTGCTCTTGGGAGAAGTCAATAGAGAAGTCTGTCATGCTGAGCCGAGATACTGATTTTCTGGTCCCTAAAACAAGGTAAATCTGCATTTTTAACTGTTAACATAAAAAGTGTTGCTGTAGTAACTCATCAGTTATGCTGGGCACTCATTCTTTTAGCTTACCTCTATGGGTGGCACTTTCCTTGCGTTCGCTAACAGAAAAAGCTTTAACAAAGTCTGCAAAAGTGTTCTTCCTACTCAAAAGCTCAGCATAAGAGCCCATCTCCGTTATTTCTCCATCCTCCATCACCAGGATCAGGTCAGCCTGGGGTAGGAAGCTCAGCCCGTGGGTTACCAAAATACGAGTCTGTTTAAGCAAGCATTAGAGAGCATCATCGAGCAAGCTAGTTAGTTTGTTATCTTAAGACTGTACTGTGTCTTTTGCAGGCTTTAGGCTAAATTCAGATTTTTAAAAGGTTCCCTGGAACTGGGTTTTGAATTAAATTGGCTATATCTATTGACATTTAAGATGGAATGACAGGAAGAGAAATTTGCTAATTTGCAGTTCAATGATTTTCAAGGCAAGTCTAATCATTATCTTAACTTAAAAATTCTTTGCTTTGTCATTACACTTTTATTTTTATTTATTTATATTAATTATACTTCCTTACATTCTAATTCAAATTGCAATTTTGCATCCTTTTTG